CAGAGAGCCAGACACTCAACCGAATGAGCCACCCAGGCATCCGGTTATAAGTGTCTTATAATTTTTTTGAAAACTGGTTATTTTAGATAACATACTGTCACAACTCCAGATACTGGTCTTCCTCCTCTAGGTCTTCTTCTTGCTGTTTGTCTCTTTGCTGAGTAACTTGCTGGACTCTCTTAGAGAAGCCTCCTCCCCCACATTGTGAAGGCTGTGGCATAGCTCCTCTGGAAGTGCTGCTTTAGACATGCACATAATCACCCTGGAATGACAGTGGTTTAAAGAGAGCTCTCTTTGACTATTTCTTGGGTCACAACCAAATTTGGGCACCACTAATTGCCAACTAATTGCTCTATAGTTTTAGACAACTTCCTGGGGCAAAGGCAGCTCCCCGGTCTGATCCCACTAAACTCATAATCCTTTCCAAAGTTTTTTGAGATCAGTGTTTGAGGTGTGTTCTGACCCCAAGAAACACCTAGCTGTCTCTCTTCTGGGTTCTCTCTGGTAAACTACCTGGCTTGCGATTTCATGTCTGTTCTTGTTACTAATCAGTTTCTTTTCAGCTTAAAGAAGGCCCTTTACCATTTCTTCTAAGGCCAGTTTACTGGTGAACATTTTTAGCTTTTGTTTGTCTGGAAAACACTGTATCTTTCCTTCATTTCTGAATGATAACTTTGCCGGATAGAGTATTCTCTTTTGGAAATATTTTTTTCCCCAGCACTCCCTTCTGGCCTGCAATGTTCCTGCTGGAAAATCTGCTGATAATATTATGAGGATTCCCTTGTAACGTGTTGTTTTTCTCCTGCTGCTTTTAATATCTTCTTCTTGTCTTTAACTTCTGACATTTTGATTGCAATGTGTCTTGGTGTGGGTTTCTTTGGGGTCTTCTTATTTGGAATTCTCTGGGCTTCCTGGGTCTGGACATCTATATCCTCCCCAAGTTAGGAAAGATTCAACCATTATTTCTTCAAATCAGATTTCTGCCCCTTTTTCTCTCCCTTTTCCTTATGGGAGACCTATGATGAAAATGCTTGTCCATTTGATGTTGTTCCTAAAGTCCCTTGAGTGATCTCCACTCTTTTCTACTCTGTTTTCTTTCTTTCTTTTTGCTGATCTGTTTGGGTGAATTCTACTGCTTTGACTTTGAGTTGACTGATCCTTGCTTCTACTTCATCTAGTCTGCTGTTGAACTCCTCTAGTGTATATTTCAGTTCATCTATTGTATCGTTGAGCTTTGTGGCTTCTGTTTGGTACTTTCTTATATTTTCCATCTCTTTGTCGAAGTTCTCACTGTGATCATCCATTCTTCCCCTGTTTGGTGAGCATCCTGAAGACCATTACTTTGCATTCTTTATCAGAGGTAAGTATAAATTACTTATCTCCTTTTCACTACAGCTTTTTCTGAGGTTTTTGCTTGTTCTTTCATCTGGAATCTATACCTGTTTTCTTCATTTTGCTGGGCTCCCTGTGCTGGTTTCTATCTAGTAGATGAAACAGTCTCCTTCCCCAGTCTTGGAGGAGTGGCCTTGTGAAGAAGATGAACCTTGTCACTCAACCCTGCCTCAGCTCTTTGTTGTCTCTTGGTCCTTTGTGCTTGTCCCAAGGAGGCTATTGTATATTTAACGGCTCCCAGTGGTGGAGGATGTACCAAGACTTGTTAGTATCCCAAAGGAGAGGATCTCAGCAGCTAGCTTCAGACTTACTGGAAACCAAACCCTCAGGCATCAGCTTTTAAAAGTATGCAAATATGTATAGTCCTGTGGGATCACAAGCATAAGCCCTATAGGCCACCAGAGCCAAGCAATGTAAATGTGTTCCCCTGGCAACAACAACCAAAATGGGGCACCAGACAGGGGCACCCTCCAGGAAGACACTGGCATTCTGGATTGCAGCAGAGGGTGAGAGCCTGCCCTCAGAGTTCTCTGGAAAAGATCACAGTTAGCGCCTACACACACTTTTTTTTTTTTTTTTTTTTTACAAATAGTTTATTGAGCCTACACACATGTTTAATTAGAACCTTGTCCCTAAAATCTCAGTCTGATGATGATTACCTAATAGGCCTCTTTCACAGAGTGATTGAGCTTCTGGGTCTGTTTCTTCTTGCTCTTTCTTCCCTGGGGGTGTCATCTGGTTAAGAACTCTGTCTTCTTTTTCCATAGTCCTGTGGGACCCACTAGCATAAGTCCTGCTGGCCACCAGAGCTAGGTGATGTAGAAGTGCCCCCCAGGAGCAGCCACAAAAATTGGTGCACCAGCTAGGGCCTATGATGGTGACACAAATTATAATGGTCCCATGGAACAAGAGTTGCAAGCTCCCTGATCTTCAGAGCCACGTGATCAAGAGACTCCCAAGCCACAGTCACAAAACTCAAGGCACCGCATGTGTGTAAAAGCTCCCTTCTGGGAGATTCTGGTGCTCCAGGATGCTTTCAATAGAGAGGTGAACCCCCTTCACTTAAAGTCTGGGTGCAATCAGCCATTCCTGAGCTGGGCCCAGAAGCTGATGAGCCTGAGCTCTTGAGCCTTTAAGAGCAGTTTTTCAGCTCACTACCAGTCTGTGGGTCTTTGGGATGTGAGCCCCATTGGTTTTCAAAGTTAAATGTTTTGCAAGCTTGTCTCTTAAGTGTATGTTGTAAAAGTTGGGATGCCTGATGTGGGGCTCAGTGTGGGTGAACTGTTTTCTTTTGTTGGTTTTTTTTTACTTTAAATAAATTGAATTTTTGAAACGATAAAGAAAACTTAAACTCCAAATAAATAAGGTCCTTTAATAAGTAGAAGGGGGCGGGGGTTGGGAAGAATAGTTATTTTAACATTTTAAGTTCCATCAAAAGAAACAAAAAAAGCATATGCCATCCCAGGGGAATTTATATAAACTCTTCCGGGTTTACAGCAGTGCTGGAATTCTCTGGCAATTCCCACAGGAGCCAAGATTACCTCTGGAACAATCTAACTATTGGAAAGCACTAGTGTCTGGCAGAAAGCCAACTAGAATAGGGCAAAAGATGTGCTGTCCTCAATCCTGAGAGTCTGGATCAATCCCAGGGGCCCAGCCTGCCTGTAGCAAAGCTGTGAATAAGCAAAGCAAAGACTGTCTCCAATTCCCACCCACTTTCCTATTCTCTTCCTAATCCTCCTCCTCTTCTTTAGCCTTGATCTTTCTGTGCCTCTTCCCACTCCTCCTTCTACCCCCTACTCAATTCATATCCTGCTTGTGTGATGAGCACTGAAGGTACAAGCCACCTACTCAGGGCCCTTGCATTTTAATAGGGAGCTCTTATACGCCCAAAGTAATGTTTCTCTATTGGTAGAAATTCAATCCTCCGTACTGGCGGTGGAAAACATGTCTGGTCTCCAGCACCACACTTCCTGTCCCAAGAAAAGTCAGTGCAGGTTTGCAGAGGCACCGAGGACTAACTACAACCCTGCCTCTCACCGTGGGCAGGTGGGGATGTACAGCGTCACCAAGATATTACCTCAAACTCTACTGCTCTGGGCCAGCTCACACAGAACCTTGCCCTCCCCTCATATATTCACATCCTTGCTGTCTGGCTTAGCCTACTTACCTTCAGTCTATATTTAGATGTCCCTTTCTCCAGAAGGCCTTCCCAGTGGATCCCCAAATCTGGGTTCTGTCTCTCTGATATACCCCCATAAACTGAATGTCTTCCTCCCATAGCACTTACCACACTGTTTTGCTACTCAGTAAGCCAGTACCCATCACAGCCCTGACATACAGCAGGTGCTTAGTTTATTGAATGAATGAATGATCTATTCACAAACACTCTAGCTCTGCAGAGACCGTCTTGTCCTGCATTGTGCCCTCATCATCCAGGCCAGTGATTAGGCCCTGGTGGGCATACAATAATTATTAATTGATTGAAAGAAGTCCTCATAAAAAAGGTACTTGGATCTATGTCGATAATGTCCTGGTATCCTTCTTGCAAGAGCAAGAGGCACAGCCCGGTGACCTTTTCTAGATTATCGGGATGAGGGGACAGAACAAGACATAGGAAATGCTCTGGGGGTACCGCTGTCCAGGGGGCTCCTCTCCTTGACCCCTTTAGTTTTCTAGGGATGGTGAATCTGAGGCTCAAGAGTAGGGCTTCAGAAGATCCATGAATATCCTGACACTTTAATCAAAAATTCATGTCAGTAACTATACGCACATTTTCCTTGAAGAATGCCATTGGTTTTCAATGAGTCTCAAAAGGCTATGACACAGAATCATTGCGCTAGACCTGTACCGTCTAATATGACCACTGGCCACATGTAGCTTTTAAGTTTGAATGTAAATTAAATTTTCAAAGCCTTGGTTACACTAGCCACATATCAAGTGTCTCAATACCCACTACTGGACAGCCCAGATATAGAACATTTCTATGACTGCAGAAGGTTCTACAGAACTTCTCTATATTGGCAGCATTACCCTGCCTACAATGTACAGGCAAGATTTGTTTGAATCAAGCAGTGTTTTTGTAAAACGAGTTACCATCGTTTAGAAATGGAAACATGGACATCTGAAATCCCGATTTCTTTAGGGAAACGGGACTATCTGCCAGTTTGGGGACTGCACTCCTGGCAGCTGGCGTGCACAGGACAGCTTGGTTTAGCTGGCCGCTCGTCATATCGAAGCTACTTGCTTGGCCTTCCTCGACATTTGAGTTCGCGACCCTTGTTTCTAGGGGACCTCAGTCACCCAGGTTTCTTTCCAGTCTCTTGTGTGTGTATCCAGACTCCAAGTTTGGGTAAGTGAGGATGCATTTGGTTTAAGACCGCATTTTGAAGCGAGGTCTAGGGCTGGGGTTCAGGAGACCAGCTGGAAGTTGGGGAGGGGCAGCGCCTCCTTCCTTTCAATTCTTCCGAAACTGGAAGAAGAGAGAGGGAATTTTATCCTGAACATCTGTTGCTTGACAAAGAACTTCTTCCCCGTCTTCCTAAGAGCCCTCCAGTCCCCAGCCCAGTTCGCCTGGGCCCGCCCCTCGCTACGAGATCGCGGGGAGGGGCCGAGTCGCAATCGGAGCCCCGCGCCCACCGCCCGGGCTGGCGACGTGGCTCGGCCTCCCCGGCCTCCCCCCGTAGCCCGGCGGCCAATGGGCGAGTGAGCCGGGCCGCCCGAAGCTCCCCTGCCCGCGGCCCGGGGCGCGCCCCTTCGCTCTGGCGCGGGGCGGGCCCGTCCCCTCCCCCGCCGCTCCGCCGCCGCGCTGGGAGCCCCGACTCCCCAGTCGCCGTCTCCGCCGCTCGCTCGGTGCCTCCCCGCGGGCCTCTCTCCTGTCCTGACGATGGCGCGTGGCGGCCGCGACCGCCTCCTGGGGCTCGCCCTGGGGCTGCTGCTGGCGCTGGCGCTGGGGCCCGGGGCGCTGCGGGCCAAGCCCACCGTGCGCAAGGAGCGCGTGGTGCGGCCCGACTCGGAGCTGGGCGAGCGGCCGGCCGAGGACAACCAGAGCTTCCAGTACGACCACGAGGCCTTCCTGGGCAAAGAGGACTCCAAGACCTTCGACCAGCTCACCTCGGAGGAGAGCAAGGAGAGGCTGGGGTGAGGCTGCGGCCCGGGCCGCGCTGGGGGGCGTCGCAGGTGCCCGCGGGGACACCCCGGCAGGAGCCACGCGGGACGCGCGCCGCAGAGCAAAGCGAAAGCGAAATCGGCCGCGCGGTCGGAGGGCGGGGGCCGGCGGGTACGGCGGCCGGGCTCGCGCCGAATTGCCCGCGGGCGCCGGGACCTATGAACGCGGACCGCCGCGAGGGAGCCGCCGCCGCGCCTTGGCCCGGAGGGCTTCCCGCGAGGAGGCGAGAACGTGGCAGCGGCCGCGGGAGCCAGGGCGGCCAGGGCCCGCCCCCTCCCCTTGGTTGCATCAGAAGGGAGGGGAGAGTGTGTACAAAAGAAGAGTTTGTGCCCAGTGGCCATTTAGTGGCAGGAGTTCTTCCCCCCCTTCCCAGTTTCCCTCTTGTCCCTTGGTTCCCTGGGGAAGGGAGGTTTTGTGATACTGCTGAGGTCTCCAGGATCAACTTATAAATGGATCAAAGATGAAGGGGCAGATGAAGGAGAGAGGATAGACTCCTGGCCGGTGTTCTGGGGCGCGGCAGGGGTGTTCTTGCCTTCCGCCTAATAGTAGAGATAGTAGAAGTAGGGATATAAAAATCTTGGGAAGAAGAGAGGGACATTAGGGGATAGGGAGTGGGAAGTGGGGATGGAAACTGGTCCCCCACTTCCTCTTTCCAGCAGATGTCTGCAGAGGTGCCCAGTTCTTTGGCAACTGAGGGCAAAAAGCTGGAGGGTGTGGTGGCAGATTGTGATTTCCTCGGTTGAAGGCAGTTGAATCAGGAACCAAACCTGGAAAACAAAACTTCGGTACATCTCAGTGCACCCTCTCCAGGTCCCCTGGGGACACACTTGGTCATTGTGCACAGGTATCTGGGAACCCTTCCACAGAGGAATCAGCAGCCATGGCCTGGTCCCTGGTGGAGGCTGGGCTGGGGAGGGTCCCAGTAGCCCTGCCTACTGGGCACCAGGCCTCCTGGAACCTTCTTCCCGGGAGTGGAGGATCTTCTTGTCCTGGTACATAAAAAAGAACACAGCCATCCCTGTGCTGATGGGGGCCACCAAAGGCCAGTGTGGTTGGTTAAAATATGAGGCTAAATTATACCTATTGTGTGGGTGCACCATCTGCGAGCTCTGATAAAAAGATCTTTGAACTTCAAAGTCACCTCCAAACAATCACCTTTTATTTTGCTGAGAAGTACTTTTCTCTTCTTGTTCAGGACTTCACAATGGGGGCCATTGATGAGTTCAGTCTATTGTATTAGCTTTGAAGCACTTGGAAACTGATTTATTTTGGGACCGTGAGAGGCAGCCATTTGCAGCATTGTTACCTGGGAGGAGGAGGAGGAGGAGGAGGAGAGGTTTTGGGATTCAGAGTAGGGAACTCTGCAGTTTGCAGTCCTAACAGCTTCCAGTTTAATGCCTTTATCATGACCAGTAAGCCTAGTGGTGACAGCTAGTGCTGGTGGACTTGGTCAGCATTTGGTCCTTGTATGGACAGCTTAACTTCGTTCGTGTATTCATGCAACAAACATTTGCATGGCTGTTGTGTGCCAGGCACCGTGTTAGATGCTTGGCAGATACAAAGATAAAACCTTATGCTCTAAGCCTCAAAGTACTTATAATTAAAAGTAGAGAGAAACACAAGCGGACGCTAATTGCTGTGTGTAATTGCTATGATGCTGGCATGCAAAAACCACAGTGACCACACTCGGGAAAAAGAACCCTTAAGGCTTCAGGTTGGAGAGAGGGGCTTAGCGGGTTGGGGATGTCACCTGATCAGAGATTGTGCAGAGCTTGCCAGGTGTACAAGCAGAGGAAGGCATTCCTGAAAACAGCCTGCGTATAAAGGTTTTGCAACCCGTTCTGGGGAATGAGGGGTGTGGGGACAGTAAAGGGACGGATCAAAATGTCACCATCCCCAAAACTTGCTGGTAATGTCCGACAGGCAGGAGGACAGAGAACATAACTGAGGCACAGAGGGAGAGGCTGGGGCAAGGGAGTGGCCACGAATGCCTGAACCAGGCACAGCTAGTCCCAAGGGCAGGAGATGGTGAATCCAGGAACGTGGGAAGTAGAACAGTCAGTGCTTGCTCTTGACTCGGCGTGGGGGTGGGAAGTGGAGGGAGGAATCCAGGGGAACATCTGGTCTCTGGCCTGAGCTACCGGACAGGTGGTGGACACACCACTCACCTGTAAGGTAAATCCAGGCTAGAAGGTGGGTGGAAGGTTGGGACTAGATGGAACATGAAAAGCCGTCTCTCTGCCCACAGCTCCTGGTGCAGCAGTCCCCGTGGCCCCCACGCTTGGGCTGGATCCAGGCAGTCACCACCTGACCTTAGATTCTGAAAATGTGACAGTTCTAAGGCTTCTGGAGACAGCTAGGCCAAGGGGCTTGCAGAATGGAAGCCCACAGGCCACACACAGTCACAAACATGCTATGTGGTCTCAGAAAAAACGCAATTTGCCCACATCTAAAATCTGAGCCATTTCACACACAGACCTTGATTTCCAGTTTCTCTTGATACCATGGATTCATCATCTGGAGCATGTGGCATTCATCGTCTGGAACAGAGATGGGCAGGCCTGCAGGCGGTCGCAGTGCATCTCCAGGCCGCCCACGGCTCTACCTGGAGGCTTGGCTCACTTCTGTTACCTCTGTTACCTGCTAGGTGTTTGGAGTTCTCCATCCACCTGTCTAGATTGCTGTCCGTAGTGAGGCGGGGCACACATTCTCTCCTTTATTCCCCACAATATTCCTTGTGAAGGAGGTGTTCCAATTTATAGTTAGGGAAACTGAGACCCAGAATGGCTGTGACTCCCTGGAAGGAAGCCTGCGGATACTTGAGGCTCAGTCTGTTTGTTGGCTTTGAGACCTGTTAAAATGGCAAGTGAGGGGACACGTTAAGACTGTTCATAGCACTCACACTTTCCTGAGAAAGAGGAGATCGGGCTCCCCAAATTTAGGTAGGAGATGGTAACTTTATGTGTACTAATAAATTCATCCCCCATTTCTAATTAATCAAAGAGTAACTGTCAGTTAGAACTTACGTTGACAGTAAGAACGTTTTCCTACTGAGTTAATAGACTGCAGCCCAAAGCAAAGAAACAAATCCCTAAGTAGCCTGGCTGGGCGCGTCCCAGGTAAATGGACTACTAGAGTAAAACTTTCTTTAGCATTGGAAATGGCTTGTGGGTGTCCTTGAAGTTCCCCACAGGGATTGCATCCCTCGCTTGGGACACTCCGGCCTGGAGATGGACACTGGAGAGTTCCTAGCCTGAAGTTTGCTTCGGACCAGGGTTTGGGGTACCTCAGGAGAGTCCAGCGGGCAGTCACTGGACCCTCGGGCCAACTGTGGAGCAGGAGACTCCCTGGACATAGGCATCTTCCCCCGAAGGGCAAGGCGTGGCCTACTGCGGCTGGCTCAGCTGGTCAGGCTTCTTGAGTACTTTCCGTGACGTGAAGGCTCTTTCACCCCTGACATTTTTGCTTTGGCCAACAAGATCTGGTCTTCTAAGTTTGGAGTCTTTGAGTCCAAAGTGGTGATATTTTAAAAAAGAAGAAGAAAGAACTCACTTATCTTCCGGTTTACCTAAAATTTTCCTTTTTTTTTTTCTCATTGGACCTAGAGCCAGAAGACATGGGTTCTTACCCTGTTGTACTAGATACTAGCTGTGTGATCTTGGAAGAGTCATCTCATTTCTCTCAGCCTCCGTTTCCCTCACTCTAACTCAAGGGAGTTGGACTGCACCTGGAGAAGACCGTTGGGTTTCATCTTACAAATCAACTCTGATCAGTTGGTGGTGTCCGCCTGCACAGGGCTGTGTTGAGAAGGATTCTGAGGCACGCCTGGGTGTATCAGGACAGAGGGCATGGCCCACTGGTAGTGTCCGCCACTGGCACTGGGTGGGAGGATGCATATTACCCTCAGAAAAGATGAACCTCAAGCTCCTTTCCAGCATGATTGGATCATTGCTTTTATTTCACTTGTTTATGCATTTTAGATTCTGCGGTGTTTGATCTTTTTCTGGATCAGGATCACACAAGCCTTGATAATAGCCTTGTGGGTTTTTTTTTTTTTAACTACAGGAAGATTGTTGATCGAATTGACAGTGATGGGGACGGCTTTGTTACTACTGAGGAACTGAAAACTTGGATCAAGCGAGTTCAGAGAAGATACATCTATGATAATGTCGCTAAAGTCTGGAAGGATTACGATCGGGACAAAGATGACAAAATTTCCTGGGAAGAATACAAACAAGCCACCTATGGTTACTACCTAGGTAAGAGGTGCTGCCTGGGCATTTGCACAGTTGGGGCCTAGATAAAAAGCCCCTTGCGGGAGCCTCTCTCTCAACACATCTGCTGCCTCGGGGAGATGTCACAACCCCCTGAGTAGAACCCGCTTATATGACATCCTCCTCTGCTGACTAAGAATGGACAGAGCTCCCTACTCTGATTGAAGCTGTAGGTGGTAAGTAGCAGGAGGGGTCCCGGGTCTAATAAAAAGTGACTTAGGAAGCTGCCCAATCTGAGCTTACAATCTTGGAGGCGCAAAGAACACAGAGAAAAGAGTAGACATGAAGCATGTCTATGCTACAGTTTCAAAATGCTGCCAAGTTTCAGATGGCAAGGACCCAGTGGGCTGGAGCAGTCAAAGAAGGCTACCTGGTGGAGGGTGGCCTGGGAGTTGGGCCTTGAAAAAATGTATATATATTTGGAGAGACAGAGGCAAGTGGGGAAGGTGGGTGGGTCCGCCAAAGGAGCAAAGGGGCAGCAGTGAATTCAGCAGTGGGTAGGGTTTGGATATAAGACATGCTTGTTTGTGAAGGTAGAGGGACGTGTGCAAAGCACAGGATTCAGCCCCACTGGGGACATGGTGGAGAGAGCTAGGAGACAAGTCTGAGGAGAGCTGGTGATGCATATACTCCTGATTAGGTTAAAGGAGATTATGAAAGCCAGACAGAAATGTCTAGACAGAATGTTGCAGGTACTATGGAGCCTGTGCATGTTAAAGCTCAAAGAATGATATTATGAAAGCAGAGTTCTGCAAAGAAAAGTATGACATTAGTGTGGCCTAAAGCCAGCACTCCTAACCACTTGCTGTAATGCCTCCAGTAAGCCACTGGGGCCTGGATTATAGGGGTGGGGGTGAAGGGACAGATGCTAAAGGCATTCTAAAATTAAATGCTTCAAAGAACTCAATAGGTCAGGACCTTTTGTCACATGTGTACCATTTGGGCATGAAGGATGAGTGATCTGGAAGGAAATGCTTTCCTTGGCAGCTCAGTTTAAATGTTTCTGCAAGGAGCGCCTGGGTGGCTCAGTCAGTTAAGCATCTGACTTCAGCTCAGGTCATGATCTCATGGTTCGTGGGTTCAAGCCCCGCATCGGGCTCTGTGCTGACAGCTCAGAGCCTGGAGCCTGTTTCAGATTCTGTGTCTCCCTCTTTCTCTCACTCTCCCCTGCTCACGTTGTCTTTCTCTCTCAGAAATTTAAAAAAAAACAACATTAAAAAAAATATTCTAAATGTTTCTGCACACATCTTGCAGGAAACCCTGAAGAGTTTCAAGATACTTCAGATCATTACACCTTTAAAAAGATGCTGCCACGTGATGAGAGAAGGTTCAAGGCTGCAGACCTCGATGGTGATCAGATAGCCACTCGGGAGGAGTTCACCGCCTTTTTGCACCCTGAGGAGTTTGAGCATATGAAGGAAATTGTGGTTTTGGTAAGATAAAGAGCCTGAACTAGGAAAAGACCAGAGTGGAATCTGTACCAAAGTCTTGTCCCTTCTTCTAAAGAAAGAGCATTCTTCAGCCTGAGGGGAATTGGAGAAGAACTCTGAAGTAGGATACAGTGGAATACTTGTCTACCCCTGTGAGTCAGGGCAGGCTAGCTGCTGTAACAAACAGCCCCAATCCTAGCCATGTAAAACAGAGCTTAGTTTTGCTTATACCAAGTCCAGTGCAGATGGCCTGAGTCAGGTGGGCCTTCTGGGCACTTCTCCAAGTACTCTTAAGCTACTTATATCTTGTACTCTACCATCTTTTGGCTTCAAGGTCAACCTGGCAACAACCAGCTGGAAGACAAAGGAAAAGAGAAGGAATGAGGAGAAGGCAACAGTCTACCATTAGTGTTCTGGCCAGGAAATGAACCATCCTTACCTTTTATCTTCCACGGGCTGTTTCTAGAGATGACGAGGCAGGGAAATACAGTTTAGATGTGTGCCCGAAAAGAGCAGAAGGTTTTAGGGAGTAACTAGCTAGTCACTGTCCCATTTTGCACCCTTGAGGGAACTAGAAAAAGACTCTGAAATGGAATGCATGATTGTTAAACCATATAGAAACTTAAAATAAAACTGTGGCTGGAAGGATGCCCCTCTTCGGGCTGGGTTTTTGGAGGGTGAATGAGTCTGACCCTAGGCTTTGAGGGGTGCTTGTAAGGCCTCTGAGTATAGTTGCTTTCCATAGTGGCTGGTAGGCTCCCAGCTGTCTTCATTTGCCATGACATCATTTCTTTCCTGGGCAGATTACCCAGGCCAGTTCTGACTGCTTTGATGCGGAGAAGTAAGTGGCTAAAGTTTTTGTTCATAATCAGCTCTAGACTGTATTTTAGTTGTCAAGTTGGTAGATGGGGTCCACACTTCTTTCATTCTTCCTTCTCGTGACCACCATAACCCTGAGGAGTGGGCAGTGGCTATAAGAATCATTTATTTTTACCACCCAACATCCATTTAGCGATACCTAATTTGCCAGAGGAGGATGAAGATGCGGGAATTGTCCACAAGAGGATTACATGCCTCTGGATTGGCTCTCTGCTCTCGGGTTGGCTATTTTCTTTAACCCAGGATATGCCTTTGAGTTGCTCTGATGGTGGACAGTGAATTCATTTAATTACTCACTGTAGCAATAAACCTAATTAAGAAGTCAAATGGACAAAACATAGAACATATACATTCAAAAGTCAAATATACGTTTATTTTTTAATTGGCCACTGTTTCATATTTTTATGACACCAATCCAGTGTTCATAGTCCAGTTAGCACTGGAATTTATTTTTTTGTGATTATCTAGTCTGGTGGTTCTCAAGCTGGATTCCTCAGGTACCCCAGAGGCTGATTTGGCCGGATGGTCGAGATAGTTGGCCTGGCCTGGCTTCTTCATAAAATCAGAGGCCCTCTGGGCTTACATGTACATTTTCATGTGAAGAGTGTTCTGCTGTTACAGTCAGGGATGGGGGAGGAGGAACCAAATCCACTGCCTATTTTTTTATAGATAAGAAACTAACGCCCAGGGAGGTAAAAAGATGAGCCAAAAGTTTCCAAGCATTTTCCACCAGAAAAGCCAGAAAAAGGAGGACAGTAGGTAAAATTCTCAGATTTACTTAGAGCACGTAGCCATCGTGCATTCTCTATTCCCCTCTGCTTCCTAGGAAACTCTGGAGGACATCGACAAGAATGGGGATGGGTTTCTGGATCAAGACGAGTATATTGGTGAGTGTGGCCTGGAGTCTTGCTCTGCGGTCCCATCTGGGCAACATCCTTCCACCCACATGCCCAGCTCGTCTCGTTCAGCAACAGCTGCAAGCCTAAAGTTGCCATTTTTGGTGCCCTCCCACCGGGGAGGGATTTGTCCCACCAGCCCCCAGCGGTACAGTCTCAGGGAAGCATTTATTAGACTCCACAAAGTGGCCAAGAGCGGGCCCATGGCCCTGAGAGGTGCCCCCTCCACACTGTCTAGTTTTACCTTTGCAGAATGAGCGTGGGGATCCCACAGATTTACAGTTAGGCTAGAGTACAGACGGTGTCAGGGGAAGGACCCTGAAGTCACACTGTGGGTCAGTCTGTGGGGTCTGGAAGCGCTAAGTAGAAGGAGCTTTGTTACACACCCAGGTATCAGCAGAAAGGCGCTCCTTCTTAAAGAGGCACGTCGTTTTACAGAGCGCACAGTTGCCCCATGATTAGCCATTGTGTGCTTCTGGTTTTTATCCTTTGGTCGGGAGTACCGAACAAAATCAGCATTTTGTTCTGATGGGCTCTACTTCAAGCATCAAGGAGTGCCTTGTCAGGTACCTGAACACTGGTGGAGTGGGGATCAAATGAATGCACCCAGGTTAGAAGCTACCCAGCTGGTTAGAGGCCTCCCCAACAGCCTTTAGGTCTCCCGCCATAAAGGACTGGGGCAGGCAACATGGCAGTTTCCATTCAAGCCTCCTCACTGCCACCTCAGGGCTCTGGTACTTGGCTTCAGCAGCAGGCTGTCTTGTCGCGATGGCTCTTCTGCTCCCAAACGTCAATAAAGTAAAGACTGGAAAGTCGTTTGAGGGATGGGATGCATATCATTTTTGTACACATATTTAATAGAGGCGATTAATTGCCTTGCAGCGTAAAATGAGAGCCCGAGTCGCCATCAGTCTCTGGTCTGGGGTTGTATCATTTTGCCGCCCCAGGTAAAGGAACAAGTGCCTTCAGTAATGAAGAGCAAACTTTTCTTCTAAAGATTAGAAATTATATCTGATCTGAAGGACTGAACGTGGTTCTCCGTCGGCCTGTGATAACAGACAGGTAGCTCTCACCACAGTAATTAAAGTGATCTTGGTGGCACTACCTTTGTGGAATAACACATGCTGACAGGCTCTTCGTCCGTGCAAGCCGCAGAGCCATCCTCCAGCCTGGTGCGTGTGTGAGGGACGGTTCAGAGCTGTGGACACCTCACCTTGACGGTGGTGATGGAATTAGACAGAAAAGGCTGACAGATTGAAATAAGCAATGTAGCACTTTTGATTAAAAGTGTGTGCTCTTCCTGGCCCTCCTGAACTCTGCATTGAAATGGTGCAAATTCAGGGGCAAAACTCTGAGTGGCTTTGCCTAAAAGAAACATTCCAGTCTTCACACTGGGCAGGGAGGGGGATGGGAGGCATTGTGCTTGAAAATACAGTTCTGAGCAGCTCGCAGTCAGAGAGGCCTGATGTGTGGACTTGTCCAGCAAGTGACTTCTTTTACAGAGGAGCCTTCTTTTCAGGGGAGAGGGAGTGGGAAACCGGGGGTGATGTGGTGCAGTGGGGAGAGCCCTGCACGTGGGAGTCCTGGCTTCTCCACTTACTAACTGTGTGTCCCAGTGGGAGTCACGTAATCATGACAAGCCTCAGCCCTCCTCCTCCATAAAATGGGGACACATAGCACCCACGCTTGCAGGATTAGATGATGCCCAAGTTAGCTAAAAACTGTGACAGCTCTTTCTCAAAAACAGTCTGCAAATGTCTGTTGTGGGTCTACCTTGTGCTGAAACAAGAGTCTTACCTCTCTTTTCCTTTTATTCACTACTGGCTCTTCTTCCTCCTGACATTCCCAGCTTGTGTTTCTGTTAAAGAGAAAACTGCCCACACAGTAGCCGTGTTGTCCAAGAAGATCTAATGACTTAGCAAACAATGCATATAAACCTTGCCTTTTTCCTTTCCCTGCTATTTGGTAAAATAAGGACAATGATCCATCTTATAGAATTGTTATAAGGATGAAATAAAATGATCTATGAAAAAGCCCCTTGGAAATGATACAAGCAACGATAAGAATAAGTGATAAAAGGCCATGCGTCAGAAACATAGTGCCCCTGATCCTACATAGCCTCAAGCTCATACTAGCTGTGGGTTCTTGGGTTAAGGCTGTGCCTCAGTGTTTTTACCTATAAAGTGGGAATAATAACAACACCTACTTCATAAGATTATTAAGAAAATTAAATGAAAAAAGTACGTAAAATATTATAATATCTGGGCTGTAGAAAGTGCTTGATGTTGGTCTGGTTTTTCACTTAGAGTGCCAATTTGGGTTGTAGAGTGTATTCATAGAAAGTATCCTATTTAATCTTCATCATAACTCTATGATTTGTAAATTATTACCTCCATGTTACAGACAAGACAGTTTAAGACTCAGTCACTAAATTAAGTAACTTAATCCCAATCACTGAACTCAGTCATGAACCAGGATTCATCTCTGGTTCCTAAACTCACTTCTTTCTGTTCCACCAAGCAGCCTTCGTGGTGAATAGATACATCATTATGTCATTATCCCCAAGGAACTGCCCACCAGACGTCTGGGTTAGCTCTCTTGATTGGTCATCATCCTTCCAGAAACTCATGAGGTCAGGTTTTCTTTGACTTACATTCCCACTTGTCCTCATAACCAAGAACAACCTTCCCTTCTAGCGGATATGTTTTCCCATGAGGAGAACGGCCCTGAGCCAGACTGGGTTGTGTCAGAACGGGAGCAGTTTAATGAGTTCCGGGATCTGAACAAGGATGGGAAGTTGGACAAAGATGAGATTCGTCACTGGATCCTGCCTCAAGATTATGACCATGCTCAGGCCGAGGCCAGGCACCTGGTGTATGAGTCAGACAAAAACAAGGTATGTCACGTTCTTCTGGAATGGTTCCTTGAAGGGAAACAGTTTACATAAGATTGGTTCTGTTTGCTTCTGTAGTGATAGCATTTGGTCCGTGGCCCATGCAGCCGTGTCATTCTTGACCTACATTAGAGACTTGTAAACTTTAGCTAGACCTTGATTTAAAAAAAAATTTTTTTTAACGTTTATTTATTTTTGAGAGAGAGAGGGAGAGATAGAGCATGAGTGGGGGAGGAGCAGAGATAGAGGGAGACACAGAATCCAAAGCAGGCTACAGGCTCCAAGATGTTGGAACAGAGCCAGATGCAGGGCTCAAACTCAGGAACCATGAGATCATGACGTGAGCCGAAGTCGGATGCCTAACCAACTGAGCCACCCACGTGCCCCTGGCCAAGACCTTAGTGACCCACAGTGAACTCATTAGGCCCAGATATTCCTGGATAGTCTGCTATGGACAACACACTTAACTCCCTCCCGTCTCCTGGGATTGTAGAACCAGTAACTTTGCTGTGGGCAGGGCATGGATTTAAGAGATAATACTCTGGGGGCGCCTGGGTGGCTTAGTGGGTTAAGCGTCCGACTTTCGCTCAGGTCATGATCTCGCGGTCCGTGGGTTCGAGCCCCGCGTCAGGCTCTGTGCTGACTGCCAGCTCGGAGCCTGGAGCCTGTTTCAGTCTGTGACTCCCTCTCTCTCTGACCCTCCCCTGCTCACGCTGTCTCTCTCTCTCTCTCTCTCTCTCTCCTAGAAATAAATAAAAATATTAAAAAAAAAAAGAGATAATACTCTGAGTTGCCCTCAGACAGATTTGTTCATTCAGCCAGTCAGTCCGCAGATAATTTATCACACATCTGTAATGTGTCAGGCACAAGGACGCCTGTCCCCTTATATCCTAGGCATCTTCCAGCAAGCTCTTACTGCTGGCTCTGATGCCCAGCACTTCAGTACCTCTTGATCAATATCCAAGTAAATAAACAGGACTAGAAAGAAGTCCTGTCTCTTCCCTGTTTGGTCACTGCTCCAAGTTCTTAGGACACAGTAGAGTTTTGCAGTCAAGCTATAAAAGGGAAATGGAATTCTCTGGGGCCTGTTTGGGGAATGTCAGCACTGAGTGTAGACATAACTTGATTCTAACTTCTGAATTGCTCGAGGACTTGCCAGATGTATTTGAGCACAGCGTGTAAGTCAGGAGGCTGTTCTGGTTTGGCTTTTGCAGGGCAACGTGATGGTGGCTGCCCGAGGTTCCTAGCAGCTTCTTCATTGTGCCCTGTAATATTTTAAATGTTGAAAATCCATGAAATTAATGGGAGCTTCATGCTGAACTATTACTCAGAGTTACCAGAGCTGCTGTGACAGAGGTCTTTCCTCTCTTGCAGGATGAAAAGCTAACTAAAGAGGAGATATTAGAGAACTGGAACATGTTCGTTGGAAGCCAAGCTACCAATTACGGGGAAGATCTCACAAAAAATCATGATGAGCTTTGATACTTACAGCAGACTGTTAGAGGCTTTCTTTTCATGTCCTGGATGGTTGCTACAGTTCTCATTTACAAAAAAAGCAAATTTATAACCCCAGATTGGGGTTAAAATTGTTTTTCATTCAGTATTTACTGGAAAATCATTATTGCTATTCTTTCAGTAAGACTTCTCCAAACACATTAAAACCTGGGTAAATTGCAATGCTGTATGGGGATACTTGCTAAAACACGATTTTTCAGCTTTTTCCATTAAGCGTAGACTAAAGGGGAAGACAGTTTGAAAGAGCCCCTATATTCAGAAGTTGGGTGGGTTGGGAGCAATATATGAAGCGACTGCTATGTATTTTAACTGCACATTTCTTGCATTTGCCACTGTTGAACGGCCAGTGAGAGAAAGTTCTGATGGAACTACGGTGGTGTCCTCCTGTGTAGGCTTATTTCACAGCACGTCTAATATACCAGATTCCTTCCTCTCGATTTTGTACTCTGAGCTGTCACTGTAAATGGTATATAAAACCTCCGTGCATTTTTCTGCACAGACCTGCTAATGTGCACAACAGATCCCTATCTTTGTGTTTTTTGTTTTTACATTAAGAAGCAATCACGAAAGATAATGTGAAAAAGAAAGGAATTTTAGAGGTAGGGAAACATGAATGTCAGGCATTCGAAGAGCTATAGGAAAATGATAAACACTTTATTATACTTGAGAACATTTTCTTGACATGTAAATGAGGTAGGTCTGATCTTTGAAGAAGTGAATAGAACTACAACCCATTTCCTCGCTGCTCACCAATAGGAAGGAGGCAGTGGGATCCCCAGGAAGTGCGGCTTCTGGAGCTCTGGAGTCTGCGCCGTCTGGTCCAGGTGAATCCGCGACCCATGGATCTGCCCCTGGGACTCTACACCGTGCAATTAGGACATGGTGATGCTCCAAGCCATTGGCTGAACTTGTAGAAACAACTTTTACTGGTTGAAATTTCACCTTATAAGTAGAAAGTGAACAAAATAAAGGATCCCGCTGAGGATTTTCTACTGTGTCTGTGGTGTTTGACCTCACATGTTCTATTTGTGACATTCTTACTCATATCGAATTAACAGTGGGATGGGATTACATGACTAAGATTATAAAGGTTCTGGGTTTTAATCCGATTACTGCAAGGTTTGGCATATACTCATTATTGAATCAGTCCATACTTCATTCTCTGCTAGTAAGGGCATCTGCAAGTCATGACAAGTGATAAGTCTCTCTAAGACCTTACAGGGTCTGGTTCCTTCCTGTGTCAGCATCTCCCTGCTATTCTCCCCTGCACCTCCCATAGTCAACACCACTCACTTCCTGGTCCTTGAACACACCAAGTTCATTCCCAGGTTAGGTCCTTTGCATTTGCCCCCCCCCCCCCCTTCAGATTCAGAACATCCCTCTCCCATGTCCTTAGGGAATTCAAATGGTACATCCTCAATGGGGCTTTCCAGACTCCCATCACTTACGGTGGTCACATCTGACTCCCTGTTTATATTTTGTCTCCTTTCTCCATCTTATTTTCTTCTCGGTATTTATTAACCACTTACGCCATCGTTTCCTAGGGTTGATGTACAAATGACCCCAAAGAAGAAGGCTTACAACAACAGAAACGTAGTCTCTCATGGTTCTGGAGGCCGGAGTCCGAAATAAAGGTGTGTCAGCAGGGCCATGTTTCCTCAGGAATAGAGGTCAGAATCCTTCCTTGCTGCTTCCAGAGTCGGCTGGCCCCACATGTTCCTTGGTTGTGGCTGTGCGGCTCCACTCTCTGCCTCCAACTTCTGGCCTTTTCTTCCTCTCCCTGTGTCTCCTCTGTATGACTTGTAAGGACACCTGTCATTGGATTTAGGGACCACCTCAATAATCCAAGATGATGTTCTCTCAAGATTCCTAACATCTGCAAAGACCATTTTTCCAAGGAAGATCACATTCACAGGCTCCAGGGATTAGGAGGTAGACATAGCTTTTTCGGGGCCACCTTCAGCCAACTGCACTATGTGATATGTTCATGTTTGTATGTTGCCCATCTTCCCCAAGCTAGAATGTGAGAGCAACGGTCTCGTCCATCTTATGTACTGCCGTTTCTCGGGACCTAGAACAGTAGTGCCTAGTTTACAATAAGTACTCTGTAGTTAGTTGCTGATGAATGAGAGGTAGTTCGCTTTAGTCAAAGAGAATATTCTTCGGGGGAACAATGTGTAAATAATTTAAAAATATTAAACATTTGCTGAATGAGAAGTTCACTAATTTGCCTGACTCCACTAAGTGGCAGGGCTAGAACTCAGATCCAGGTGTTCTGGCTCCAAAGTCTCCCCTGGGTAGCACTAACTTTTATGGCTCCAACCTTTGAATCTGATATATGTTCCCTTTATTTCTTTGCTCACCCACGGTGTCTGATTATATGGTCAGGAAATGAGAATAGCTCCTCTTACCCAGATATAGGCTGGCACTTTTTTTTTTTAAAGCAATGAAAACCAGTCTTTTGAAAAACGAGAAAATAATATCTTGTAACCTAATTAGAAGCATAACACTTATAAAAGGTGCTAACATTATTTTTCCCCCAAAAGGGAATACTGGCTGATTTATTAAGTTATGCATAGTAAAATGTTAAATATATTTTGAGCACTAAATTTTTCCTTTCAAGTCAGTGCACATAAGAAGAGAACCCTCACAGAGACTAGTGCTTCTGGGGCTGAATTTAACACTATTTAAGGAAAGAAAACCTTAGCTAGGGGACATAACTGTTAACATGGTGATTTGTAAAGCCTTAGATTTCTAATAGGGTCTGACTGTTTCAAGGAAAACATATTTTGTTTCTAGGTAACATTTCAAGTCAGATTATGGACAAATGCTACAAAATTGATCTGTAATGGGAAATGCTGTAATGTCACAAAGCATTATTTGTATGCTTAATGTGACTGAAAGCATTAATTGCTAGGAGCCAAAATCTGTCCAAGCAAAACATGAACACACATTTTGTACCTCTTGTCTCGTACTTTAGGTTTTTGAATGAATTCAAGTGTAACAAAAATGCAGTTAGAGCAGCAACATCTAAAGGCTGTCTTCACCTGCTTGGATTATTGTAGTTGTTTCTTGTTAGCAAAGGCATGAATCACATCTCCTCAGGAGTGCCCGGCAAACCATAGCTACGTGGCTACTTGTTAGCCACCCAGCCAAAACATCTTGTGGAGTTCAGTGGTGAATGGCCGACTGGATGTTTTTAAGTCTTTCTAGATTGATTTTGCTATCTTTATGGTAAAATCTGGCTTCCTCCAAGCATCTGCAACTAAGATCTGGTTCTCTCTGGAGTCTTAAAACAAGTTTATAGTGCTAGGATTTCCCACAAAAAACCAATGAGTGCTATATTTGCTGCTTTGGCTCAGACTGAAGTATTAAAAATTTGAGCCGTGGAAAGACTGTCATTAGTAGTTAAACTCCTGCGATTTACATGAACGTGGAGCTATTTCCACAGAATCCATGTGCACTCTCAGTTCTGGTCAGTTCCAGAGTCCGAGGCTGGCTAAATGTACCCTAGGAATAACACATCCCACTATCTCGTGTGTTTTCAGTACCTTTATCATTTTTCTCCTATAAAATGGAAACCAGTGTGTAAGTCCCAACGACGGCACGGGGAAGAACATAAATGTGAGGACTGGTTACTTTCCTATCTTGGAGGTACAAGCATTTCTTTTCTCCTAGAGTAGTAACTGTGTACCAGCCGCTATGCCAAGTTCTCACACACAATTCTCGTGGCACCCTCACAACAACCTGTGAGGCTGGTACTTGTAAGAAAGAGGGATAAGCTGGGTTATGCTGTGGTAACAAACAACCCTACCATCTCAGGGGGTTAAAGCAAGAGAGGTTTAATTTTTGCATTTGCAAAGCTCACTCTAGGCCAATTGTGCATGGCCGTTGTGGTGTGGGGGGCTCTGCAGTGTGAGAGTCAGACAGGGGCAAGCAAATGTAGTGACTCCTAACAGTGTCCCACGTCAGATCACGTTCTTCTAGCTAGAAATGGCAGAGCCAGAATACAAATCCAGGCTTCTCTTAATCACCCCACTATGTTGCCCCCTATTAAAGGGCCCTTTGGTGAATCTACCACTAATATTACTACAGTTTTAAAAACTGGTGGCAACGCCTGGTGTAATTTGAAAATTCACGAGAGGCAGAGTTGAAGGTAAGGAAAGATGGGTCCAAAGCCGTGACTGGATTGAGTTCTAATTCTGTGACACAGAAGTTCTACGATCTCAGAAAGTCACCTTCCTCCTGAAAAGCCTGTTTTGACTGCACAACATGGACAATAATAATAATACCCAGGTCTCAGAGAAGTCACAAAGACGAGGTGAGATAATGTACACACAAGAACCACAAAGACTTGACACAGAAAATTTTTCCCAGTGACCTTCCTGAGCTGGTCAAATGTTAGAGGTCAGAGAGGTCATGCCCACAGACACTGGTTAATAGTCTTTCCTTCTTGCGTGAAGCGTTCTTAAAGCCTCAAGATCCATCTACTACTGGAGGGAATGGACTGAATAATGACAAAGGAATCACATTAGCACTGTTTTTATCTCGGTGAGGGCGTTCCAAAGCTCTGTGTATATGGCAGGTGTTCGAAACTCACTTCAAAAACAGATCCAAAAAGGGGCAGCTGGATGGCTCCATCAGTTAAGTGGCCGACTTCTCCTCAGGTCATGATTTCATGGTCCATGAGTTCAAGCCCCACATTGGGCTCTGTGCTGACAGCTCAGAGCCTGGAGCCTGCTTCAGATTCTCTGTCTCCCTCTCTCTTTGCCCCTCCCCTGCTCATGCTCTGTCTCTCAAAAATAAAATAAAATTAAATAAATAAACTTAAAAAGCAGATCAAAAGAGTCTCTGCACATTCATAAAAAACATCCAGAGACCCCACTGAAAGAGGTCACGTGGGGTCATGTTTTCAGAGGAAGAAACTGAGGCTCAGAAAGATTAAGCTTGTGGTTTTCCCTTCCACAGGACTGAGGTTAGACTAGAATCCCTTCCCCTACTCCAGCTGTTCACTTTAAAGCCTCAACAATTTCATCTGACAAATGGCAACAATAATCCCGACCTTTTAGAAGGTGAATAAGGATTGATCAAAGAAGTGCCTCTAAAGCACTTTGTGAAGGCAGTGCTCAGTAAATGGTAACTATTTTTATTGTTACACCTAAGTAGGGTCCTTACTTGTTTCTGCATCAAACATTGTATTTATTCATGATTACTTTTAGGCTTTAACCATGGCATTAGTGCAGGAGGTTGTGGATTTATCAGAACATTATTAGCGGCTTGTTTGTTGTTTTAAATATACAAAGAAAAGGTGGTGTTGTTTTTTGAAAGGTCACATCTTAAAAAAAAAAAGATGTCACATGGTCCTTAACTGTAAGGAGTTGAGATTTCACGAGTCATATCAGATCAGGGATCCCAGACCAGGGAAGTAGGGTGTCTGTGCTGCCAAGATACTGGTGGTAAAGGTGTTCACAGGGAGCACACCCGGGTGTCTGAGATGGACCCCCCACTGGAGGACACACGGCCAATGACTTCCACTCTGCAATCTTCCTTTTCCTCTTCTGAAAAAAGCGGTGAGAGTGGTACTGGCCCCACTGGGTGGCTGACGGGGCTCAGGGAGACTGTGTCTGTGTAAAGCACTCTGCCCCTGGCCTGACACGAGCAGATGCTTGACCAGTGGTGCCAGGTGACTCTGTTATAAAAACTTGTAAGAAACTGACATTCTTTTCAAGGGTTAAAAAATTTGCTAAGGAATCAAAAGAAATTGTTTAGAGAATAATCTGAACTTTATTTTCTGACAGGCAAAATTCTACAGATGATTCACACTGAAGCCGGGCTCAGTAGCCTCAGAAGGCCCCTCCTGAAGTCTTCTGGAAGGCCCGTTGGCTTGCTGGTGGCTGGATTCACAAAGACATGGACGGAAGACCCAGTGGTGCAGGCTGAAGAGTCAAAATGGACCAGCTTGGGGTGGCCAAAGAAAAAGCCATCCCTGAGGTCCCA